TATCAGAACAATTGCACCACATTACCTTACAGCTTGCATTTGTTTAGATGGGGACTCTTAAGTTCTGCCATGTGATCACCCTATTTTGTTATAGGCTAAAAAATGTTTGATTTTTCTAAGTAAGGTGTGTATGTGTGGGTTTCTTATCCCAATGTACTTTCTTCTTAAAGAAATGATGCGCAGGTCTCCTGTTTGCTCGGGGAAAAAAACTTGCATTTGTCAGCTTAACACAACACCTTAGTGGATATGAGAATTAATTATCAATTCGATGTAGTAGAAGTGTAGAAAATCAGGTTAAGATACACTTGTTTTGTGTTAAGGAATTATGCTCCTATCAAATTATTTTTCCATTTGTTTCTGGCTCTGCTCGCTTCTGATTTTTGCGGCTGCGGCTGCGGCTGCAGCTTGTACTGTAGCTGTGAGATGCAGCTGCAGCCGTAGGAATCACAGCCGAGCACACCCTCAATCTGTTTCTTGCATCCAAATTTCTGAAAACTAGCTTTAGTGCCAAGTATCTATTTTTTTCTTCTTTAAGACGAATAAAACTTTGCCCCAATTAATTTCTACTCATGTTTGATCAAAATATCTTCAGGTTAGGTATCCAGACCGTATAACTCTAATACGAGGAAACCATGAGAGCAGGCAGATCACACAGGTATGGGTCACTTTTAGTGCTTGTTCTATGGTTCTGTCCTGTAAGAGGATCCCTTTTTGTGGTTCCTTCTGTTCTCATTCATTTGCTGCAGGTTTATGGATTTTATGATGAGTGCCTTCGCAAATATGGCTCCGTCAATGTCTGGAGATATTGCACGGATATATTCGACTATTTAAGGCAAGTATCTTTTGATACTTATTTTAATCCAAGCAAGTCCATCTTTCATGGAATCAGATATTTGAGATCTGATTGCAGCTCAATCCGTTCTTTTCAGTTTGTCTGCACTCATTGAGAACAAAATCTTTAGTGTCCATGGAGGCCTTTCCCCTGCTATCACGACACTGGATCAGGCAAACTATTATCTTAGTGTTGTTTTTAGTCTATATATATTTTATTTCTATTAATGTTTTAACCTATACTAACAGATACGAGTAATAGACCGCAAGCAAGAAGTGCCTCATGATGGTGCCATGTGTGACCTTCTATGGTCTGATCCAGAGGATGCTGTAGATGGTTGGGGATTAAGTCCTCGAGGTGCAGGATTCCTCTTTGGTGGAAATGTAGTTTCATCATTTAACCACTCAAACAACATAGATTATATTTGTCGTGCGCATCAACTTGTCATGGAAGGGTATAAATGGATGTTCAATAACAAGATTGTAACTGTATGGTCTGCTCCTAATTACTGCTACAGGTACTTTAAGTTCATAGTCAAATAATTTCCTTTTGAAGTTGACGATGGATCTTTAAATTTAGCTGTTAAGAATCTGATGGCCTGATGCTTTTTTTTTTTTTGAAAGTAATGGCAGGAGCTCTGCTTTTCAATTAAGAAGAATAGAATTGGCCTAGTTTATAAGGGAAACTAGGCCTGAAAACCTTACAGAGGCACAAATTAAAACACAAAAAATACCCACAACACCAGAACACGATAGCCCTGACGACTAACACACAGAGGTAACACACCAAACCAAACGACGCCCACCACATGTCCTCATTGCCGAGCTGATGGCCTGATGCTTTATTCCTATACTTTATTATTTTTACTAGTTATTATGAAAGTTCTGTAAGAAAATAGATTGGCACTGGACTATGTAGGATCTGGTGGACTTTGAGGAGATGTACTACTGTCTGTGCTGTTGGTGTCTTGTTTTACATTTAATGGAAGCTCATGGTCTCTGAACTTTATATCTTGAGGGAAGTAGTTGAAAATTGTATTTGATCTAGTTATGGAAGTTGCTTTAGGTACCTGTAATACTCTGCAGAACTGTACTAGTTCTGTGTTTCTTTTAGTAGCCCAAATGGCCACTATTCAAAGGTAGAGTTAGGACTTTGGAGGCCACTTGGGCCTGGACAACTGTTTGAACTGGGGGACTTGAATCCATTTACTTCAAACTTGAATCCATTTACTTTCTTTGTTCACAGCATGTAATGATTGTCAACCTCACAGATTTCTTATGTTTGCTGTTGGATATCTTCATGTCTTTCTTCTCAGCGTTAACTATTATTTTTATTGACCTCACAGATTTCTTACCCTAGAAAAAACTGTGTACATGTAGGTGTGGCAATGTTGCTGCAATCCTGGAGCTGGATGAGAACCTAAATAAGCAGTTCCGCGTATTTGAAGCTGCTCCACATGTTAGTGTTCTCCACCTTTGTAATATGTCAGGCTTATATTAAATATCTGGTCCTTAAGCATAAATTTGTCCATTTATGCCTTTAGGAATCAAGGGGTGTTCCTGCTAAAAGGCCAGCACCAGATTACTTTCTATGAGGCTGCACATTGAGTACTAGAGCTTGCTACCTAATCTCTGCTTTGGAGCATTGGCAGTGGAAAGCCAGTTATGCGGATGATACCCCATGTTGTAAGAAGAGCTCAGGCCATACAAGAGTACTGCCAGGAGGTGCTTTCAGGATGCCTAAATTAAGTGTTTATCTTCTCCTTTCAGGTCTATGATTTGTAAGAGAGTTGATGTTGGCACCCAGTTTTTCACAGAACAGCTCCCATTTGAGCTCTAGAAATACGCAATTATGAAGGGATTTCATGGGGTGTGCTATCAGTACATGATGTAAAAGTTTGTTGCGGTCGTGTCATCACCAAGAAAACCCCGATACTAGAATTTAGAGTGATTTGCTAATGTTGTGCCTGAATATGTGGCGCTGCTCTGGAAAGTGCAGGAAATTTTGTAGCTGACAATTTTTTCATACTGTTAGGTGTAAATTAAATCATGTGGTCAGGGCTGACTTGCCTGGAGTTCTGCATGTAATGGTTGTAATGTAACTTTGCTCTGCCAGCTTCTCTGATTCAAACGTGCTAGCTTTAAGTTTGCTAACAATCGTGTTGACCGTTTCTGCTGTTCGTGGGCTATTTTTCAGTTTATTGCATTTTCTGAGTTGCACATATAAATTGGACGAATGATGCTCATGCTAGGACCTAGTAGAGACCACGGAATCTGGTGATTGTTTGGACTTCCATAAGAAATGTTGTAGTTCCATAGGAACCAGTTCACGGAAGTCTTTTGTCTGAAAGATGAAACAGCCCTTTATTTGGGTTGCAGAGCATCTAGTTTTTGACGAGGAGACCCAAAGCGTGGACTCAGTAGGCATGGTAGATCTTTGAGATTATTTGATGTAAGCGGTGGCCTCGGCCGTGCGCGACACCGACGGCTCCTCCGTGACCGGTAGCCGTGGCTGCGCGCAAGCGACCCCTGATGACTCCTCCGTGACTGGTAGCCTCGGCCATGCGTGGCCCCGATGGCCCTTCCACGACTTAGTAGCCACAGCTGCGTCTATGCCCGTCTTCCCAGCAGCGACTCCTCCGTGCGACCGCAACCGCGTCTACCTGGTGTGACATGCGCACGCGTATGGATCACGCGTGAGCAAACTTGTGGTGCGATCTTCTCGAAGGATCTAACGTGACCTGGTGAAGAGGCAGTGCACCGTGAGTCTGCACACGCGACGAACTACCGAGACAATCACCATTCCACGTACCGACGAAGCCAGCCCACGCAATCACGCCGTGTAGACGTGAAGGCACCAACTGGGTGAACCGCAGTTCGGCGTTCTACAACTCCCTCGAGAATCGAAAGAACAAGTTTGCAAGCTTCTCAAGACCCACGTGGGAACAAGAACTCAAGAGTTGGTATTTCTGAATTGACAGCCAAAAAGTCCCTCTCGTCATCTATTACATGGATATATATAACACTAGTGGAGTCTTCAGTTCAGATTAAAAAATAAATGAGAACATGCAGCAGTAAGTCGAAGCACTCCTTGTATTAATAGCCTGGCCTAATGGAGATATTTGGATGGTTGGTATTCATATGCATGCTTGTACGTGTGTGACAGCGCTGCTAACTGCCTTGCTAACTCACGAATTTATTTGCTTTGCATATCCACAACTGATCTGCTTGGAAGCTGAATGGTCCATCTTCTCTATGCACGTCCAGGCTCCATATTCCAAAGATTTGGAGGGCAGAAACCATCATTCCTAAGAACATTCATGCGCTCCATCGTTCCTAAAAACATTAAAACAAGAACTCAAATGCATAGGATGATTCAAAATAATCTGATTATTTAAAACAAGGTTAGCGTTCACCTGTGAATGCATTTCCTTCTCCAGTTGTTTGGCTTTGCTCCTTGTAATTGGTCCCACTATATCAGATGCACTTTTATCAGTAGGTGAAGAGTGGATGCTAGGGATGTCCTCATTACGGTGACAGTCTTCTTTGCGCGCGCACGCCTACACGGTGTCAAATCCGCCATGGGCCCACAGATTTGAGGAAGGAGCGGATGGAAGCTAAAATTTTCAGCTCCGTCTTCCACCCTTACCTTCTCTGAGCGGGTTTCGCTGGACTTCTCTCGCGGAGCTGTTTCTGATGCGCCGTTTGGTTGATGAGACTGAAACACCTCTTGTAGCGGCCAGGGAGCGGTACCAAACGCCCTTTAGGCCTTATTTGGATGCACGCGTATTTACTTCAATCCACATGTGATAGAGTAGAATGAAATGAAATTTAGTTTAATTTCACTCCAATTCACTTCAACACGGATTGAGATGAATTCATGCGCATCCAAACAAGGCCTTAATGATCGGTGGTACCTGTTTAGTTTTGAACGAAAAAAATGACCATAAGCAAGTTCAGACCCACCTGTCGGGAACAAGTTTTTTTTTTTTTTTGATAAACCTGTCAGGAACAAGTTATATTCCGTATGTCTCCATTAAAAAAGAGCTTATATTCGTTTGCGTTGTTCCCCTTCCCTCGCCACCTCTCCCTTCTCCTCGCCACTCTCACTCCGCCACGCCGGAGCACGCCGCCGCGGCACGCCTGCGCCCGCCACACACGAGGGGCCTATGGACACGGTGGCTCACCGTCTGAGCCGCTCCTCGACGCGATACGGGCCCATCAGCAGCAGCGCTGCCTCCTTCAGCGGGCCCGTCCGGAAGTGGCGCAAGGCCTGGGTGCCCCTCACCGGCGCCAGCACCGCCGGGTCCGGGGGAGGGAGCTCACGAGGTGACAACAAGGTGGTTCTGTTTAGGTGGACGCCTGTGAATGGCGGCTCAGGAGGAGGGGGAGGGGCCGACGGGGGCATGGAGCCCGCTGCAGCGGGGGCCTCCACCTCCAGGCGGCGCTACGTCCCGGTGAGGCTTCCGGGCTTCGGAAAATTTAGTTGATTTGGGTTGTATGATTGATTTTTTGTGCTCGGTGGGTTGAATTTGGTGCAGAGATTCGAGAACTTGGATGTTGTTGGTTGGATTCGGGATGCGATTGTGCGCACAAACTCGTAGGATTATGGATAATGTGAATTCTTCTGGGATGGGTTCGAGGTTTAATCTATAAAGTACCATTTGGTGGATGGTGATTTGTACATTATGGTTGGACCAATTAGAGTTTGGGCCTTATTAAGTTAAAAGGGTTGGGTTAAGGGGTTAGGGTTTAACGAGTTCATTTGTGGTGTGGGCTAGATTAGGGGTCCATGCAGTTCTGCGGTACACGAGTTGTGCAGTTGAAAATGTCTCTACAGAAATGTAGTCAAATGGGTTCAAATCTGGTCAGGGTGGTTCATGGATATGTGCTTATATTAGTCTCACCATCTTAGACTCATAGTTTTTGTTGATTTCTAGTGGGGATTGTACCTATTGCTTGGGGGCAACTTGATTTCGCACATTGAGTTGAAGCCAGGTTGTGTCAAGGGGTTAGGGTTTAATGAATTCATTTGTGGTGTGTGCTAGCTATAGCCTCCGGTTAGGCCATGTAATTGTAGGATTGGAAGTGTCTGTACAGAAATTTAGTTAAATGGGCTCAACTCGAGTCAGGGTGGTTCATTGTACTTATATTAGTCTCACCATTCTACCATGGGTGTGTAGTTTCTCCTACATAGTTTTCGTTGATTTCTACTATTTTTTAATCAGTTGTTAGTATAAATGTCCATTCGGGCCACCCGGCCCGGCCCGGTAGGGCACGCCGGGCCGCCGGGCTGTGCCTGGCCCACGGCCTAGGCACGGCCCGTCGGGCCACTTTCCGTCGGGCGGCCCGAAAGCACGGCACGCCTTTTAGCGAGCCAGCCGGCCGAGGCCCGCATCAACAGGGAAGGAGAGAGGGCGGAGGGCGAGGTCGAGGCGCCGTCCCTGTGGCCGTGGTGGCGCTTCGGCGGCGACGTGGGAGGAGGATGCAGAGGGCGGTGATGGCGTCGAGGCACGTGACCGCGTGGAGGAGGCCGGGGAGGCGATGAAGAGGCGCAATGACGAGGCGATGCAGAGGCACCACGACGCGTCGGCGACGACGGCCTCGGATCGGCCGCTTGAGGCTGCCAAGCGCCGAGGCCGGCGCGCTGCAATCTTGCCACGCGGATCAAGGGAGGCTTTGACCACGGAGGAGGAGCATGCGGCCGTTGGTGCGGGGGGCTAGGAGGTGGCCGCCGTCGGTGGTGCGGGCGTGGAGGAGGCGGTTGTTGGCGTGGGGGGCGAGGGGGAGACGAGGTCGCGATCGCGACGCTTTCTGCGTCGCGAGCCTAGTGCCGAAAAGCGCGCGCGGGATGAGGATGCGCCTAGGGTTGGGGTGAGAGCCGCGCCAGCGGCGTGCGCTTATATATATATGGGGGGGCGGCGGCGGTGGGGGCCAGCCGCTACTGGGCCTTTGGGGAGGAGGAGGGAGGAGGAGGGGGGGGGGGAGGCCGGGCCGACCGACGCAGGCCGGGCCGTGCCGTGCCAGCCCACGGGCCTGAGCAGCGGCCCAGGCACGGCCTGCTCCCTCGGGCCTGGCCGTGCTCGTGTCGGGCTAAAAAAGCGGGCTTCGTGCCGTGCCGTCGTGCCTCGGGCTGCATGGACATTTATAGTTGTTAGTAATGTTAACAATCAAGTTTGTTCCAGATCAAACTGGTATCAACGATGCTGAAAAATAGGAATAAGGCATTTCAGTTGCTTATGTATCTTTTTGTGGATTCTGCAGGATGAGTGCCCTGATAAGAGTTTTAAATGGATATTAACTGATTCAGTTGCAAAAATCAATTAGCAAATGGCAACTTGAAGCCTTGTTTAGGGAACAAAAACTTGATTGACAACCAAATAGGGGGCAAAAAGGAATAAACAAAACAGAGATATGTCTTAATCAGTTTTGCCATTTATATACGTTATAGGCATGCTCCACTGGTCTCCATATTGTCATTTTTCTCGCCTAATTGGGATGTGAAGCCAAACACTTTGTCTTCAGCATATGACTGAACAATTGTAACATTTAGTTGGTTGGCTGATGAGGCCATGAATTATTTTTCCTGTTTGAGATGTGAATGTTTGTTCACTAAAAGTCTCCAATTGATTTTATCCGGAAAGCTCTGCATTGTGCCATACTGTTTGGATCTCTCCTAATAACCTCTTTTCCACCTTGGCAAAGTAAATAGTAGGGTGGTAAAAGGATGCAACTGATTCTTGTTTTGATAAGTTTTTACAGTCTTATTGATAAGTTTCATCTTATATAAACAACTTTTTTCTTGAACTGCCACAAAACTCATATGTTCCTATCGTATTTCAGGCTGCAGGGGAGGCACAAAGCACTAGCAAAAAGGGCACCAGCAGCGAGCTCAACTTGAACCTCGAGCTGGAAGAGCCTGATGACGACACTGACGCCGATATGAGCACGGACGAGCCACGCGACGTAGAAGATAACAACGCCCGTCCAGAAAGCCGGTTGAAGCGGAAAGCATTTTAGCCGCTGGTCACCTAGAGATGTGGATCGGAGCATCAGCTTCATTTCCCACCTGAATCGTCCGCCTCGGAGGCGGACTTTGTGTACCATAATGTAGCATTTAACTTGTATTAGCCAGCCCGTCGTCCTTTGTCTACTCCATTCCAGTCTAGAACAGTGGTCGTCGTCAATGATTGTCCAAGGCCAAGTGCTCATGTTATAATTCATAGATGAGGTGAGCTGTTGGTTATGACTAGTCACTCTGTCGTGTAAGAAAGAAAGATTGTCGCAAACTTTGTGCTAGTGTGTAATGGTACGTGGCAACATGTTAATGTATGCGGTCGATGTTACACGCTCTTGGCTCCCTCCATTTTCTGAGATTTTGATTCCGTGTTTCTGAAGAATGCGACCCCTATTGCGCCGACCCCTTGATATACACAGCAGCCAGAGCCTAGAGGCAGAGCAGGATGGGAGCCCAGCCGGTCCATCTGTGGGGGGATCAGCTCCTCCGCCCTGGCGCCGCTGGCCAGCGCGACGTGCCGCGGGGCCCACGGATGCGGCAGCTCCATCTCCTTCGCGTGTCCCACTTTTGGTGCCTGTTTGCTTGCAAACAGGCAAAGCTGCCTGGCGTGAGCGCGGTTCCCAGGCCAGCTGCTAGTAGAGACCCTACCGCGTCACGGCGGGGCAGTGAGCGGCGACGCGGGCTCAGCCGATAGCGCGAACTTCCCCGACGATTTGATAACCATAAAAACGTTCACGAAAGCGATGCCGAACCCCAAGATTTAAGCCATAAAAAGCGCTCGTGACGCACATGGCACGTAGGGGTCAAAGGAGGGCCCATCATCCAGCGACTAAGACTACCCACAGTGTGCTCGATGCCAAAAAGATTAATGCGCCATGCCGTCAACACCGATGCTCAAAACTCTTCCTACTGCACAACGTTCAGCATCGAGGACATGCAGGTGCATGAGCATGTGGGCCAAACCTGTTAGAGGAGCATCAATGTACGTGAGCCGGCTGAGAAATTGATTTTTATTTGGCAAGCATCGGGTCACCTTCTTGCCTCATGCCTTGAATTTCGAACTCAGCATGGCTCGCTGCAATGTGATGATTCGACAATTTCATACGTTGTGGCCAGTCTAAGCCGATCGACCGGCTCTTGCTACCACTGTCCCGTCCCCTTTCTCCCTATGCTCTGACATTCACACCGTCCATGACCACCACCCGTGCGGCCGTGCCCGGTGCCCCCCATGGACCATGGCCTCAGCCCTCAAGGTCAACCGTCGTACTAGCAGGCAAAACGTGTTCTAAGGGTTTGCTCCAAATCCCAGAATGGATTTCACTAAAGTTCAAATGATGAAAAAGCACCAGCCTGCTTGCTCTACTGTCTACCCGCGTCAACTAAGGTAAAAAGTTCTCTGTATTCATTCATGTTTCTCAAACTCTAAACAAAAACGAGATTCAGAAAGGGCATTCGATCCCTTCTACTCCTTGACTAAAGTACGGCTAACTTTAGTCCCTCGCTGTTTTCTCCTCCGGCTGTTCTGCCTCTTCAGTTGCATCTGCACCTCCCTCTGTGACACCGACTTCGGCAGGGCGGAGGACGCGGTCGTGTAACATGTAGCCCACCTGAAACCACAAATGTGTGTTACTCTACTGGTTGAACGGCAGTACAACACAGGTTGGCGATTAAACTTTGGGGAATATTTCAATTTTCAAAATACAGCCAATATTAAACTATTCAATGCCCTTACGATGTAAGATCGATCAGATGGCATGCAATGACTGAACCATCTTCTAAACTTCGACATTGTTAGCATGCCATACAGGTTAACAAGTTTGGCCCAGCTAAAATAGAAATACACTGTTGACGACAGGGATCGATTAGCAGCAGCAAAATGCCAAGTGTTCGAAGCATCCTCACTTGCTTTTATTCTTTTGTAATATGGGAAAAAAATTAAACTTCTGTATCAATATAATCACTCATTGTCACCACTGGAGCAACCAACTGCTGTCTCTACTACAACAGAACTAAGGGAAGCTATTGGAACATTTGGAACAGAAGCACGCAGAATGAACTGCCAAGCTACTACAACATGACATAAGAACCATGCGTGTATCAAAACAAACTTCAAGTGAATCAACAAATGAACAGCTGAAACGAAAAGCACCATGCAACTGAAACCCAATAACTCCAATCTAAACATGCTTGGATTTCCTATAACATGCTGAAAAAAAGCGTTTTAAAGTTAACATACCTTTACAACAGAAGCAACAGTTCCTGGTGGTTTTGAAGGGTCGGGAATTTGAAAAACTGCACAATGCCTGTTAGGATCAAATTTCTCATTTAGCGGGTCAAACTTTTCAACTCCAAACTTCTTGAAGACCTGTTTAGATTCGAGGGAAGGTTTTCAAGTTATATGGAATACTCTAGAACAAAATCTAAGTGAAAGGGGGGAAATGGCTGAGAAATATTTCTCAAGGAGAGAACTTTTTTTTAAGATAAAGGAACCTCAAAACAAATAAAGTACCTCTGCTAGTTGCTTCTCAGTCATGTCCACACCCTCCAGCAGGGTCTTCAGTAGTGGGATAGCTCCAGCAGAATCTTTTGAGTCATCAATTTTCGAGAAGCTTTCCTTGACAACAGATGATGCTCTAGCCAAATTGTCAGCAACATCTAGCAGGCTCTTAGAGAAGTTCTGCATGAACAATCATGACAGATACCATAGCTAAAGCTAATTCACAACATTTTATGGAAATGCATGTCAACATCCTCTCTGCAATAGAATTTCAATAATTGGAATGGTAACAGCAGACCTGTACTGCATATTTTTTGGAGTTTTCAGATTCACGTTTTGTCCGAGCAATGATATTTTCCATTTCTGCATAGCTGCGCAAAATCTTATCCTTCATATCTTTGATTTCATCATCTTTCGACTTCAACAATCCATCCTTCTCACGAACTAGCTTCACCAAATCATCTTTTGACAGATCAAGGCCTTCAATACCTGAATCAGAAAATGCAGTCCATTAGTACCTCTACCTCCTACTAAAAGATTGGGACATTAGTATTGCAAGCATGGTTCTAATGTGTTCTCACTTCCAGATGAACAGTCTTCACTTGATCCATTTAAGGGCCTTTCCTGGTCTTTCAGTTCATTATCACTTTGTTGGGGTGATACAGAGGAGAAACCAAACTTCTGAAAAATGCTGGTTGAGTATCTGAAATGATGATTCAAAATACGCGGAACCTGGACGAAAGCAAGTAAGCATCTATAAGAACAGAACAAACTAGAAGAGATGGACAAAATAATTTACCAAATAGCATGAATACGTAGCACTGTTTTTTTATCTAGGTATTCCCTAAGCTGTCCCCAGTAAATAGTAGTCAACGAATTTTAACATAACAGCAAGAATGGTGTTTCAGCAGTAGTTGTTACAACTAAACACATCAGATTACTACCAGAAGTCCAATACCAATAGATGGCACTGGTTTCCTAGAGGAATGTAAGTAACAATACATGCATCGTCAGTATTCGCAGAAATAACCAGAAAACAAAAGGAAGGAAAAAACATACACTTCCTGTCTGCCAAGATTATATCCTCCCTCAACAGTCAACATGTAATTCTTACAGTTGAAATGGATACATTAAAGTAAGAAGCTCCATAGACAGTTCCAACTACCCACCACTCCATGTATTTTCCCACCATGTACCTAATAAGTCCTACTTAAGTACCATGTCATCTCAAGTAGGTGTAGTAAAGAGAACAAGGGTTTATCACAGAATCCCAACTTGTCATTATTAAAATACAACCAACTTTATTTTATAGAGAACATCCTAGGGAGCAACTTTATGTTTAATAAACTTTAACTCTTTTAAATAAAACAAATATAAAAAATTAATTTCTGATAAGAGAGAACATAAAAATATGTTCCTAAGTTTGCTATACCATATTTAATGTCTATGTGGTACAGTTCTGTCTCCTCATCTGACACTAAGACTAAAAGGTGAGAGTGAATAAGACATAAATTCAATTATTCAAAAGGACAATGTGGTGACCATGTGATTCCAGTTTTCATGATATGTATTTTCAAATCAAAATTTCTACTTAAAACAACAGAGTATCCATCAGTCCTTCTGAAGTTTTTTGCTTCAACATGGATGGCTGTGATAGAAATAAAAAAAAAATTGGAAAATAATACTAAACTTACATTTACCTTTATAGTAGACAAAACTTAAAAGACAAATGCTATGTGACCATGGGTTGGAAAAGTTCTGACCAACACATGGTTACCTATTTTCTGTGCGACAGATAGGAGCTACAGCTCAATCAAATAACTTAGGAAAAAGTCTACTCCACCCCCCCAACTATGGGGGGTGGTACCCCCCCTCAACTATGAAACGGTCTGATTTACCTCCTGAACTTTCCAAAACCGTCTATTTTACCCCCCAGGCGGTTTTCAACGGCGGTCGCTACAGTAACGGCGGTGCTACAGTGACAGGGGTTTTTCTTTTTCCTTATTTCCACTGAATCTTTGAAAAATCATAGTAAATCACAGAAAAATCATAAAATGAAAAATCTAATTTTGTTGGACTCCACATGAGTAGATCTACACAATGAACATATAATATGGTACACTTTAGCACAAAACTTTTACTGTAGATTTATATTAATTAGAAAATCTAATTTTGTCTGTAATTAATTGGAATTTATCTATAACTAAGTTATACATGGTACAATGAGTACGAAATTTTTACTATAGTTTAAGCATATAATAATTAACCTACCATAAAAATTTCAGCACAATTGGACCATAAAAGCTGCAGCTATGAATTATTCTAATTAATTACAGACAAAATTGGATTTTCCAATTAATCTAAAGCTACAGCAAAAACTTTGTACTAAAGCGTACTATATTATATGTTCACTGTGTAGATCTACTCATGTGGAGTCCAACAAAATTAGATTTTCCATTTTATGATTTTTCTGTGATTTAGATTTACTATGATTTTTCAAAGATTCAGCGGAAATAAGAAAAAGACAAAGACTGACACTGTAGCAACACACCGTTGCTGTAGCAACCCCCGTTACTGTAGCAACCCGCCGCTGAAAACCTCCTGCAGGGTAAAATAGACGGTTTTGGAAAGTTCAGTGGTAAATCAGACCGTTTCATAGTTGAGGGGGTTATGTAGACCACCCCCATAGTTGTGGGGGGGTGGAGTAGACTTTTTCCAAATAACTTATTTAACACTATTGTAACAAAGTCATCAAAGGCTGCCGCTTATCTAAAAATTTACATAGCTAAACTGCCCAAACCAATACATTGCTAAACTGCCTGAACCCCTAAGAAGCAGCTACCTAACAATTTGAATTAACTCAAAAAACCTCACTTCACTCAAAGCTTGCTCCGCTCTCATGTTTGATGCTACCAAATAATTCCAATTGCAAAATAAGTTTTGTCAAAATCAACATTAGTTAATCTCATTTACTTCCATAATAATAGTTGTCCTCTAAAACACTGAACTACAAATGTGAGGAACAAAGAACAATCATGAACCAACACATCCTCAATTAGCACACACATAAAACATCCCTAAGGCTGTGTGTAGGTTCCCATTTAGTTCTCACGAATCAAAATATGTCAACTAGATGAAGATCAAAAGCTATAGCCTAAAACCCTCCCAGCAACAACAATTTTGATTGAACAACATCCCACGGAATTTTTATTATCCCATCCACATTCCGATACATCATCTTAAGCTATTAAAATAGCAATAAGAAAGTACAAATTCCAGCTCCGCAGACAAACGCATAACGTTAAATCCCTAGGTGTGAATCGCATCTCATCAACCGCTACTAAAAGATTAAACCTAAGGACTGGCGCCACAGCAATCACTAACAGACCCTGGACTCACAAACCATGGGCCACAAGAGATGGTCCAGAAATCTCACCCTAACAGACAAACAGGATCCGGCGAACTGCTCCACGGACGCCGCCGCCGGGCCCCCCCGTTGCCGCCCCGCGGCTGATGACGCAGCCACTGCGCCGGCGCATTGCCTGGAGACTCGCAAGAGGAGGCGCGCGGTCGCCATCCTAACGCTGCCTTGATTTCTGCCGGAAGGAGACAGAAGAACGGAAGAGTCTGGAAGGGAGCTGAAACTGCAAGACAGAAAGGGAGCGTTTGCCGAAGGGAAGGAGCCCTTTTTTTCCCTAGCAAATTAGGGTAATGCCCATTATACTTTTCTTTTCGGCTCCGGGGTTGGGACTATGGTGCCGAGGTAGCGCTAGGGTGTTTATGTCTTTTGCCTCTAGAGGTTCTAGGAGGTCGGCTTGTCGCGCAAGAAGAATTTTTTTTTAAAACGGGAAGATAGGTTTAAAGCCCGCGAGTTAAATGCCAGCATATCCATCGTGTAAAGTTTAGTCACTAAGCTTTATATTACTATAAACTTTATATTACTTGAGCTCCTTAAACTTAAACAGGAAATATATAGTGTTATATAAAATTTAACCAACCTTACAAAAATTTTAGATCACACGAGTCATCTAAAATTTTATTCCTCAATTTTAACCAACTAGTTTAGACCAGAGAATCTAAACAGACTCTTAATTAGTGTCCATTGTGCTAGTTATTTGTTAGATCTAAAAATAATCTAAATTAGCTCAAGTTCATAGCCGGCTAATAACTGTTATAAAACATGTTGCCAGCGGTTAAGACATTTTCCCTCTCTGTCTCTCATGATCAATATAGTTGATGAAAGTAGAACACATAGACACAAGAGATAGGAAGACTATTCTTTATTTCTCTTAATATTGATGATTACAATATAAATCTCCCACGTATATATAGCTCTGTCAAGGCCTAAGAGTTTGGTAAGAACCCACATACAGACGGACTAGGGAAAGAGTCCGTATGTTTTACAACACTATCCATTGGACGATTACCACGATATGCACATGTCTTATTAAAAACTCTATCCGAAAATTCAGTGGGAAAACGGTTCTTGGAGAAAAGAGTACATCGCATTCGTTAATTGCATTGCACATGTTGTCTTATTAAAAACCTTGTGTGAGAAACCTTCAAGTAAAAATTCACATAGGGAAAAAGAGTACAATATTTAACATTCTTGGTCATGTATTCTTCATAATATTCTATTCTTCATAAATAGATATTGATCTTCATGATCTATGCATAAACTTTAGTATTTTAGCAAATATGATCTACTTGATCTTTATAATTCTAGTGGTTTATCTTCAAGGTAGATTCAATAAACATATGCTCCCCTCGTAAAGCCAAAATTTGAACTTCATTGTTAAAACCCACTTTTCATAAATGTGTGCTTAATTAATGGTATACAACACCCAATACTATATCTTTCAAAAAGTTGGCTTATAATTCTTCTATGAATTATATATAGGTATAAACAAGAGCAATATGCTTCATGCATAATAACCACTTATTAGCTGTGCAAAACAAATAAATTTTATCCTTCAAGATAATAAAACATTTCAGAGGATTATGGAGGCAAATAAGTTAATATTCAATATCTTCTAAATAGTGTATCAAACTTATACTAGAGTCTGAATACTAATAATTTTTCCTTGGTGGATTTTCAAATTATATGTTCTACAAATCTTCAAGATTTTGATTGTACCACTAAATAATAAATTCAGTCTTGCATTTGGCATTTAGGGGATATTTCAATTGCCAAAGTCACCATTATTGTTATACCTTCTATGGTATTTAGAGGCTATCAAAACTTCATTGCTAGTTTTATAATATACATTTTCTAAGTGTTTGTATGACACCTTCATGGCATTTAGGCTCTCATTTTCTTTCTCTCAGGTTTACATTCACTTCAGGGATTAATGGTGTTTTTCAAGAATCGACCGATAAATCCTTCATGGATTAAATTCTTCAAGAATGTTCTCATTCTTAGTGAATAACATTTCTCTTCTATAAGATATATTCTCTACTACAAGAGAGATTATTATATGATATACACAATAAGATAGTGTTATTCACTACAAAGTCATTCAATGACTATTCCTTCTAGGACATGCTCTTCTTAAGACTTCAATATTCATTCAGAAATATATTATACCTTAGACTTCTTAATACTTGGTATATGAGATTTAATTTCCATATGTTGCGATTTATATTCTTCATGAACTATATGGATCTTCAAAATCCATTTATTAATTGCATATTTCATATTCATTCATTTCATTTGCCAGAGATATAACAGAACATTTATTTCTTCTTAGTAGGAGATTCAACCTCAATTGCTTTCTTCATTGACTCGATATAATCACTGTAAGCGACTTTGTCATGGACTTTATTTTCTAGATCCGGGTTCTCTCATAAGAGAAATATTTGCAATTATAGAGGTAGTGTTGTCGACAACTATTATTTTCTCCCAATATTCTCACATTGTGAGATTATTCTATCTCTTTGTCATTTTCCAAATAAGAGATAATTTGTTGTTCTGCATACCCAACACTAATGATGCGCGCGCATAGTGTGTTGGTTTTCATCCTCATGACGACCCTCTTCATGAGGTGCTTAACCTTATTCTTGAGGTGTACTCTTTATGAGAATGGAGGAGTTTATTCTTATTTTATTTAACATGTATATACTAAACTAGAATCCATAGGCGTTCTCGTAGATTTTAGTTTGATACTATACAACATTTAGTTTACTACTAATAAACATAACTTCTGGTTTTGTAACTTCAAGTTACGCCTCTTGTTTTTCAAAAATATCTGGCATATGCTCCGCTTCATGCTTCACAAGAGCATTAGTCAAACTATTGTTTGATTTAATGCGTGATACTATTCTTGCTTCAAGCTTCAAGGAATATTTTTTTCTTAAGATCATTTTCCTTTCATGGAAATAGTATTTGGCATTCAAAATAGGCTTTATCTCCCCCTAATGCCAATATTATTAGATTTTTAATAGCATATTTCAAAAGATATCCCCTATCATGGGCTAAAAAAATCAAATTCATGTATCTCCAACTACAAGTGGAGGTCCATCCATGTATGCTATGATAGAAATTTATGGGAAATATTAACGCACATATTTAAACACGGGGGTTATTTTCCATTGATGCAGCGAGCTATAATACATAAAGTGCACTTAAGAATGTTTAGCATTCCTATAAACTCAGGGATGTTCTCCCCTGATTTGCACATATTGTAGTTTAAAAAACTATTTCATTGTCTATCTTCTTTATTGTTTAACCAAAATAATTAATCCAAGTACTCATACATAAAAATGGACCATATACTTCAAAAATATAGAATACGCAACATTTAAACTCACATGGAATTTCTTTTAGACTTTCTAATTGCCATTAATGCAAAATTTCCCAAATGCCTTTTCTTCTTAAATCCCAAATCATTATAGGTGTGTTATATACCATCTTAATTCCACAATTATCCATTCCATCAATTGGGTTAGTCTCCATTGAACTAATTTCATATTAACTCACTCCCCCTGATCTTAGGCTATTTGGCCCTAGATCAATCCATTGCTTATGCATGTAATGCATTGAAAGCAAAATATTCTTTAGTTCGACGAGAACTATATAGATATAGCGTGCTAGCTAGCCAATTTAATTATGAGCGAAGTGCAAAGGTAGCTACTAGCTACAAATATAGCTGCTTATGCTAATATTCATACAGGAGTAGAGGTAGTTGCAGCTCATTGAGAGCACAACATAGTAATACACATTCATATGCAACGTGGAATGTTGGTATTCAATTCAATGGAATAGATAACAACAAAAATGCAAACCTACAAGCTCGCATGCAATTAGTGCAATGTAGAGAACGGCCGGAAGAGACGCGGTTGGGACTTCAAGTTCTGATACATGCACTTAAAAATAGATTTAGGAAGGCTATGCCTATCAAATATATATTACCCACATTTTCTTGTGCCTTTACCCAAAATTTCTCCCCCTTTTCATGCTATAATTACTTCAAGTAATGCTACATGCATCATCTATGAATAATTATTTCTAATGTTCCATAGATTCCAATCATATTTCTAGTATTCATTGGTGCTGGCATAAAATTCACATATCTAGTGTACTATTCAGTGTACAACAATATATTCAGGGTAGGACATAAACTTCTAGTTTTTCGGGCTAAAGTATTCAATACTTAGTTTTAGGATTATATTATTTCTTGGCTAAATTAATCCTTCTAAGATTATTTAATATGCTAGTATAGTCTCACTGTTCATGTGCTTCTAGAAATTCAGTTTCTCTTCTACCTACATGGTAGTAGTGCACAAAGAACTATAATCTTTATGTTTAATTGAGTCTTCTTTGTGGATAAAATTAATGCAAAATTTATTTAGATAGACAATAGGCAATTATTTATATGTAAAACATAATTCATTCCATGCAAGATTAACATATATTACTGCAAGTAAAAATTGCAACTAAAAATATTAAATGCTTCATATTAGTCTTCAAGCTAATAAAGTAACCATTAACTCTTCTATGAGTTTACATAATTCACTTAATTGAACGGGAATTAAAACTTAAAGTACCACCACCACTATATCAATACTTCAGGATATGAATTTCAAAATAAACAAATCTATAAGCACATGATTTAAGTTCTTCTTCAAGAGAAACTTTAAATGTTCTAATCTCTATCCATTCTTACATGTTTAGCTTCAATGCTTGACATTTAGCAGCTTCATACTTGCTCAATCCTTCTAGGAGTATAATATATGCAAGTCACATATCCTGATTCATAGAGCTATCTAAAAATTCTAACTCAATTTCTATTTGATATTGAGTAATTCTAGATGATATTGGATACTTCTAGTACTTCAATGCTCTTGATCTTCTATTTCAAGAAACATTTCTTCTAGAATTAGACAAAGTCATCTTTATCATCTCGTCTTCTATGACTTTTAACATAAAGCTTCAAACTAATTGTATTATATAGAGTAGCATTTATATCCTATATGGTCATATAAGTTTGAAAATTCAATTTTCAATATTTCTAACATTTTGCAATCATAATATAGGATATCTTCTAGAATTTCTCATTCAGTGAGTCTCATAAGACC